CCCCAAAACCCCAAAACCCCAAAACCCCACACCTCTGAATAAATATTGACACTAAAATTAACTTATAATAATAAGATGGAAAGCATGTCCAGAGCTATCCAAGACAGGAACAGCCAGATAATCAGGTAATAAAGAGCTTAGTTTTAGAGTATTCTAAAATTTGTACCATTAATTTTGTCACAAGTTCTAAATTTACAATGTTGGAGACAAAATTTATTAACTTCTATAATAATTGCACCCAAAATTTCTTAACCAAGAAATTTCTACTTCAGTTAAAGAGAATTTGGCAGCCTTAGCTCTTCAAAATGCATTCAATATCTCAACAGATTTAGTTTTCTTCTAAAGACTCAAACTTCAGATTTCTCAATATTACAAAGAGCATTTTTCCTTAAGTTCAACTTTAACTTTCTGATGGATTCTGACATTGGTGCATCTCCTCATCTATCTCTAATTGTGCAGTCTAGAGAAGCCTGTTCTAGAAGAAACCAAGGAACAAGATATCACCAGATGCCAGAGCATTCTCCATAATGTTTATCCAAAGCAATTTAAAATTCAGCCTTTGGTTTCAGACTTTGAAGAAGTTCCAACTAATAGTCAACTTTGGATTAATTTCAGCGACCTGAGATATGTGAAGTTTGCTCAAAGTATGAAGTATCTCAAGTTCTTCAATATAAACTCGATTTGGTTTGACGATGTTGATTCTAAAAATAAGCGTTTTGTTGACTTCTTAGAAACCTCATTCCCAGATAAAACTAATGAACTCTGTTTTCGCTCTGATGATGGTTTGGATCTTAATAGTTCCAATTACTTAAACACCCTGATCAGGCTCAGTTCTAAGGTCACCCAAAAAGTGGAATTTATTGGTTTCTACATTGGGCTCCCCCAACTGAAGAGACTAGTGGCAGCTTACAAGCATGTCAGAGTTCTGAAATTATTCTATTGCAGTCTGTCTATTCCAAACACCCCTGACTTTTCAAAGGCTCTTATAAATTGCCAAATCCAGGAACTAAGTTTAGAAGGCTCAGGATGTTCTTATAAAAGTGACTGGGGAAACAACTTTGATGAGTTCGAGAATTTGGCACTAGGATTAGCAAGTTCTCCAGATTTAAGCCTGAGTCTCAAAAAGGTATATATCTATGATTGAGGAGTAACCCAAAATGAAGCTGAACAGATCTTTGAAGAAAACCAATTTAAAAATGTCGAAATAATTGAGGAAGTTAAGTTTTAGTAAAGTTTGTGTTTTACTTCATTGGATGAAATTCTTCCTTTCCTCCATATCTGACACTTGGCGATTTTTCATATATTTTGGGGTTTTGATTAAGCTGGGGTTTTGGGGTTTTGGGGTTTTGGGG